GGCCTGATCACCCCTAACCACCTCTGCCTCAGCCCCACCACCATGGCTGCTTTGTCCGGGACGTCCGGAAAGTTGTCCGGAAGTTGTTCGGTCTAATTAGCATATTACCCTTTTATTAGTATAGATTTTTAAAAGATTATTATTTTGCTTTAACTTAGATTTTTAGAATATTTTAAAAATATATTTTTATTTATTTTGGAGAGGAAGAAAGAGGGAAAAATAGAAACATCAATGATGAGAGAATCATTGATCTGTTGCCTCCTGCACACTCCCCACCGGGGATTGAGCCCACAACCCTGGCATGTGCCCTGACCGGGAATCGAACTGTGACCTACTGGTTCTTAGGTTGACGCTCAACCACTGAGCCATACGGGTCAGGCCCATATTTTATTTTATTTTATTTTATTTTATTTTATTTTATTTTATTTATTTTATTATTTTTAAACCTTAGAGCACACATGTGCTTCCCTACATGGCCCCTCCAGTGACATGCTCATTGTAGAGAACTTTAACAAGTAGGTTTTCTCTCATCCTAATATGTAAAAAGCCAGGGGCCGTCACGACCAGATAGCACCATCTGCTATCTCCCTCCTCTCCATCCCTCCTCCCATTATTGGATGACTAACTTCAGATTTTTAAAAGTAGGAATTACATTTAAAGATCATTACATTTGATGGCAAAGAACACTATCCATATATATAAAGAGCCAGGGGCCATCACGACCGAAACAACCAGACAGACTACCGAACAGGCTGTGTGGGGCGACCAGGCTGGTGGCGGGGGGGGCAGTGAGGGGCGACCAGGCCAGTGGGGGGGCATTTGGGGGCGACTAGGCCGGCAGGGGGGACAGTAAGGGGCAACCAGGCTGGTGGCGGGGAGCATTTGGGGGCGACCAGACCGGCAAAGGGGGGCAGTTGGGGGCAATCAGGCAGGTGAGCAGTTAGAGACAACAAACCACAGGCTGCGTGGGGTGACAAGGCTGGCTGGGGGGTTAGTGAGGGACAACCAAACGACTAAACATCAGGCTGCGTGGGGCGACCAGGACGGCAGGGGGGTTAGTGAGAGACGACCAAATGACTAAACAGCAGGCTTCATGGGGCGACCAGGCTGGCAGGGGGGACGTTGGGGGTGACCAGGCTGGTGGTGGGGGGCAGTGAGGGGTGACCAGGCTGCAGTGGGGGGGCATTTGGGGGCGACTAGGCCGGCAGGGGGGACAGTAAGGGGCAACCAGGCTGGTGGCGGGGAGCATTTGGGGGCGACCAGACCGGCAAAGGGGGGCAGTTGGGGGCAATCAGGCAGGTGAGCAGTTAGGAGCCAGCGGTCCAGGATTGTGAGAGGGATGTCCGACTGCCAGTTTAGGCCTGATTCCCCCTCCACTAAACCAGCAGTTGGACATCCCCCAAGGGGTCCTGGATTGGAGAGGGTGCAGGCTGGGCTGAGGGGGACCCTCTGTCCCCCGTGCACAAATTTCGTGCACCGAGCCTCTAGTCTATATATATATATATAAGCCTAAGTGACCGTTAGGACCAGACGACCGGCCAGTAGCTATGATGCGCACTGACCACTCAATGCAGGAGCTGCCCCCTGGTGGTCAGTGCACTCCCATGGCCAACCTCCCGTGGTCCCTCCCCACAGCCAGCCAGGTGGTCAGTGTGCTTCCACAGCCAACCTCCCGTAGCTGGCCAACCTCCTGTGGTCCCGCCTCCTGGCCAGCCGGGCGGCCCCTATCAGCCCGAATGGGACTGGGAGAGATGCCCCAATCGACCCCAATCACCAGCCAGGCTGAGGAACCCCACCCGTGCACGAATTCGTGCACCAGACCTCTAGTGTATATATAATAGCATGTCTGTCTGTCTGTCTACCTATCTACCTACCTACCTACATTCCTACCTATCTATAGCTTTGCATCTTTTTTTCTGATTAAATCATGGACATTTTTCATTATTTTACATTGATGATAAATATAATTAGAAATATCTTGATGACTATTCTGCACCCAAAAATAAACACATTTCTGATTATTTGTTAGAATAAATTTTTTCCAGATAAAACCTTGGTCTCAGTATGGGAATATTTTGAGAAGCTTGATACACAGGGCCAGTAGATTTTAGGAAAAGTTATATCCATTTATAGTCACAATGAAGCACCAATTAGAGGGAGAAAATCATTATCATTTAAATATTTAATATTTCCTTGATGTACTAGTAATGTTGAACATGATCTTTTCATGTAACTGTATTTCTTTTGTTAAACGTTAATGTCCTTCACTTATTTTTTTTAGTGCTTTTCTTACTGACTTATAAGAACATTTTCTATTAAATATTAATTCTTTGCCAATGTCCTTAGTTTGTCATTCCTTTTAGGTTTAATCACGATAGCTTTTAGAATAGACATTTAAACCTTTTTTATATAGAAAGTATTATATATAAACTAGAGGCCCAGTGTACGAAAATTCATGCACAGGGGTAGGGGGGGATCCCTCAGCCCGGCCTGCGCCCTCTCACAGGGGATGTCCTACTGATGGCAGTCTGGCCTCCCTCTGCGGGAGGCGACCGGGCCTACCGATTAGGAGACGGCACTGCCCCCATCATCCCGCCGCTGTCGCCCAGTCTCCCTCTGCGGGAGGCAACTGGACGGGCAAATCAGGGGATGGTGCCAGCCCCGCCATTGCCCCTCCACCGCTGCTGCTGGTCGCTGCCGCCCCCCATCGCCGTTCCCTCCCTCTGCCAGCTGGCATGCGCCTTGGCTGGCCTGGCGCTGCCTGCTCGCCAGCCCCGCCCCCTGCCGACTGGTTGTTCTGCTGTTCAGTTGATTTGCATATTACGCTTTTATTATATAGGATATACATAACATAAACATAAAATCCAATCTACATATATTATAGATGTCTCTTCCTGTGGTCCCCCCCTCCCCCCTTTTTGGCTAAAAAGTCCTTTTCTGGCTTGTGAATATATTCATATAATTTCTTCTTACTTTAAAAAATTATTTTATTTTATAGGTTTAATTTAGCTGGAATTTACTTTGGTATGAGATAAGAATTCAACTTTTATTTTTCTCCAAACAGCTAGTTGCATTTATTAGCAAATTTTGATGCAATTATTTTTAATACAAAATATCATATTATATGGACTCTCATTCTGAGAAGTCCTTGGAGAGCATGTCAGCCATCCTCCCCATCCTAGAGAGGAGAAAACTAAGGTCTGGACAGACTGAGGGATTTGGGCCAAGGCTTCCCGTACTGTTTGATGAACAGTAGAGAGAGTCTAGGTCTCTGTGGCTTCCTGAGGACACTACTTAGGCAGTATTCTTCAATTATATATTGAAATCAATGTGCTCACTCAGGACTTAAAATATCAACAAATAGGCATTGATTAGGCCAATGCATCTAGGAATCACCTTAAATGCTTTTCAAATTTTAGTTTGCACTAAAGGTTAGGATAGATTAATGGACCAAAATTCTACTTTCAAAATTCTACCCTTTTTGTTTTTTCCTAAGATAACAGAGGATGACTTTCAGCAACAGATGTTACAACAGGGTTTAAGCATATGGCATACAAGGCATACATAATGACTGATAGCTGTCACTGTCTAACTAAGACTGTTACTTTAAGATACATAGCAAAAAAGTCCAAAAATTCAGAAAAGTTTTAAGAAGAAAATTAAGACCACCCATAACCCTATTATCCCAAGAATAACACTATTTTAACATTTTTTTCTATCCTTTGAGGCATTTTTCTAGGTGTGCCTGAGCACACACATGACCACCCAATGCACAGAGATTTATTTTTACAAAAAGTGGAATTATATTATACAAATTTCCTTAACTTTTTCTTCCCTTAACATTATACTGTGGAGACCTCGCAAATTAGTAATATAACTGCACATCATTTTTAATGGCTGTATAATATTTAACTGTGGAGCATAATTCATTTAATTCTATTGATATTTAGAGCTCTGAGATAACATTCCTATAAAGACATCTTTTCTAATGAGGTTACCTTTTTAGTATTTTACATAGCGAGCTTGAACCTGTGATTCTCCATCAACTTCAAGAATGAGACAGTATCTATGAACTCTTTCCCAAAACACGAATAGAACGTCACAGGATCTAATTATCCCACACTCCAAGTTTTGTTTAAATCATCTAAACTGTAATTTTCCCACATGATTCCTCTCTCAAAATCCTACAGAAACATCTGCACTACACATCACCCATGTTGTCAGTAACTGAGATGGAAGTTCATGTCTTGGTCATTTGTTGTTCTCACCTTTGTCTTTATTTACCATTTTCTTCTTTGTATTCAGTATTCTTGTTCCTTTTTGTTTGGGGTGGGATTTGTTTGTTTTTAAATTTCTGGAAGGACACTTGAGTGTCCAACTATTAGAATTTTTTGGCCCTCCATTTTGGTGAACTACAGACTTTCAAATGACTTCAAATGAGTGAAGATACCACTAGGATGTGAGTAGATGCTAGACTGATGTTCTTACTCAGGTAAAGCCTGTTGTCAGTGCTTCATGAAACACTTACTTCAGCAGCTCCAGGGTTTTGTGATCGAGAGCCAGCCGGGGGTTTCCAGTCAGGTCTAGTTCTTGCAATTTTGGAGGCAGGTTTTCTGGTAAAGTGACTTCGCTTAGCTCGTTACAGCTCAGGTCCACACACTGAAGAAATAAGTGGAAACAAGGAGAGTCAGGTGGTTCAGAGCTCCTGTGCCTCCCAGCGGAATCAGCCTAACCATTTGCTACACTCGCTGCTCAAATGCAGAAAAGTTTGGTGGCCACTCTGCCACAGACATTGAAAACAGGTTTTGTTAAATGCAGTTTAAATTTTTACTCTCTTTGAATAATGCAAAAAAAAATCCATGCTCTTTCTTCTCCCCATCTTTATCCTTCAAAGTTTTCTGTACATTTAAAATTAAGAGTTAACTGAAATATCCTCAGGATACTTTTTCTTATTGCTGACAAAAATCTCTGCACCTGTTGTGAACATGAGGTAGTTACAACATCAAAATGGAACTTCTTAAAACAAACAAAAACCCATGCAAATGGGGAAAAAGCAGGGAACAAATACTCAGAATGATAAGATCTTCAAAAGAAGCTAAGTAAGATATCAGTAAGAGACAGACTAGCACATGGGCCTGTCTACTATATGCAATAGAAAAGGGCAGGAATTAAATATGGATCCTGCCCTCCGGGCATTGAACACCTGGACCCTCCCAGCAACCCCCGCCTAATCTCATCAGAAAACAAGCAGAAGGATCAGCATATTGATTAGAGCAGAAATTCTGTGTTATCTGTGAATGGGAATAATGCCTCCTTTCTCATAAAGTCAGTGGAAGGCTTAAATGAGGTGAGACCTAACACCAGGGGCTGTGCTTCTGCTCTGGGAGCAGGGAACCAGGGCAGAAGGCTCGCATGCACAGGCCAGAATGAGAGTAACTGGTAAGTTTTCTGGATAAGAGAATGTGGACCCCAAATTCAGCAGGATGAAGTGGAAAGCATTCAGTTATCTGGCTTGAGCTGGCACCTGACTATAATTTTATTTTTAAATCTTTATTTTAGAAAGTATTACATATGTACCCCATTTCCCCCCATTGACTCCTTCTAGCCCGCCGCCACCCCACGCCCACGCCGTCCCCACACTATTGTTTGTCTGTGTCCATGGGTTATGCATATATAGTATGTGCATATGAGTTCTTTGGTTGATCTCTTCCCAGCCACAACCCACACCTGCCTTTTCTCTGAGATTGTAAGTCTGTCCCATGCTTCTATGTCTCTAGACCTATTTTGTTCATCAGTTTATTTTGTTCATTAGATTACACATATAAGTGAAAGCATGGCATTTGTCTTTCTCTGACAGGATTATTTTGCTTAGCATAATACTCTCCAGATCCCTCCATGTTATCTCAAAGAGTAAGAGATCCTTCTTTTTCACTGCTGCATAATATTCCCTGGTGTAAATGTACCACAGCCTATTAAAAAACCTTAAGATAGTTTGAAAGCAAATTGTATTCAAGAATTTCAGAATCCTCAAAAGTGGAAAAAATCATCGTTATTTGGAAAAATTCTTAAAAGAACTTAAATCTATAATGGATTGGGGAGAGCTATAGACTAGGTAAAATGAGAACCTATATTTTTGGAGAAATGTGTTTTTAACTGATAATACAATGTTTCACACAAATTGTTTCATACTCTTGCTCCCAAACTGCAGCAATGCTATAAAATTATAGTATAATCTTAAGTAATTACTTTTTAATACAAGAGCTTTATGACCCATTACAAAAGGTTGGACAAACAGAAAAGCTTAGAAAACTTGCCCTTAAATTTACCACCTTAACACTACCAGTGTTAGCATTCTATTTTTTTTTCTTATTGGCTTATTATTAATATAAAAAACTTTAAAAGATCATAAATGTAGGTACCATTTCATTACATTTCAATTATTCCATATTTTCACTCCCAACACCTTTAACAGCCTTAATAATTTCAGTTAAGTACAATATTTCACATAATTAAAACATTCATAATAGAAAAATGGTCATCTCCTTTTTGTTTTATTTTCCAATTATAAATAATGGTTGCATGAATAGTCAACTGGACTTTAATGAAAAATTTATAATACTGGTTAATAATGGTTTATTCTGCCAGTAGAGTCGGAATACATCACAGATAAGACAACAAATGGTATAAATATAATCTCCTGGGTAATTTTGAAACCTGAGCTTAAGGGCTGGCAGGTGTGGATAGCTCATAACATATGTGGTTGACAGAAATAAATTCAGAGGTCAGGGCATGGATTATGGGAAAAGATTCCCATAATCTAAAAAGGCATTTTAGAACATTACTAAATTTTATAAAATTGGTTAGCAATGTTTTATAATGTGATCTAAGGTTTTAAACTTTCAGAGTTCTGTCAATGTAAAATTGCTCATTCTTATATTATCAAATTATAAAATGAGTTCACTAGAGTATTTATTTACAAAGATAATAACTGGCCATGGAAAGCAGACCTTCTTAGAGATGGTGCTTATATAACCCCGCCCAGGCCCATTTGGTCACCACGTCTTTAATTCACTGCAGCCAGTTCCCTTCTGAGTCCTTCACTATCCTGTCCATCACATTCCCCTAGAGGACTATGACCCTCCCTAGCTTTGCTTTCAGTTTCCCTTCCTTCTGACCCTCTCCCCACAATGCTGTCATCAGGGTGATACTCTGATGACATTTATTCCATCTGGTCACACTCCAGTTTCACACTCCTCCTGCCCTTCAATCTGCCACCGAACTCCTCAGGATGTCAAAGAAGGCACACGTCAACCAGGTAAATGTATGAAAACCACTGTCGTAAAAAAATTATGCATGCTATTTATAGTATCTTCAAATGTCTGTTATATCAAGTTTATATCGGGAAGTGCCTGAAAAGTGAGGAATGGCTAAGTAGGACAGCTTTTGTTCCTTATTAGGAGACTAGAATATGCTCCAAAGTCTATAACCACTGAGTTATTTTTTATTAAACATAAAACTGAGGATAAGCAGAAATTCTAAGATGCAAATGAAAAGCTACATTTTATATCTATAAGGAATTCCTACTTTTGCATCAACGCACATACAAACACATACACACACACAAATAAAAACCTGTTAGATGACTCATCCCAGTGAACAGATTTCACCCCATTAAGTCTACCTGACTCAGGAATCACACCAATTGCTGCCTTCATTTACATATATCATTTCCTGTTTCAGCACCTCAGTTTCCTAACCTATCAAATGGGAATATCTGTTCTATCCCATTTCATTAAACTGAAATGAATGCTTGGTGACCTATACAGGGAATGATTATGAGTTGGGTGGTGAATGCTACTTAATTAGGGGAGCTGGTAGAGAGGGGTACACTGGCACCATTAAGTTTCTCAGACTGCTATCACACCCCATTCAGTCTCTGAGCCTGGAAATAAGTAGGGAAATAGATTAGGCAGATGGGAAACCTTCAGTGGCTATGTGGCTAGCCTCACGCCATGCAGTTGGTAAGGGCTGGAATACAATTTCCCAATCCCAGTCCAGCGGTTTGGTTTCTGGTTATTTTTTCCTTCTGCTGACTCAATAGTTTAGCTCAGTGGTTAGAAAGGATGGGGCAAAGACAACTGAGTCTCCATGCTGAGGAAGTCAATGGTGCAAATGCCCAAATGAATGAATGAGAGACACAATTCTCTCTTTGGACACCACAGTAGATGGGCTGAAACCACACACCTTGATTTCCGGGAGCTGCATAACTTCGGGAAAGACCTCGATGCAGTTGGAGTGGGCGATCACCGTGTGCATGCGCCGGCAGTTCATGATGGTTGTTGGGATGGCTTTCAGTTTGTTCCCACTGATATCGACTTCTTCAAGTTCCTCCAGTTTCGCCATTTTACTAAAACAAGAAAAAATCCACGCACAGGGAGTCATAATTATAGGGCAAGTTAAAAAGAAAATAACACATAATGAAAGTCAAAGGTGGAATTTACTATGACTTTAAAGATTCTTTAAAGATTCACTTGTAATAGTCATTTTAACAAATAAGACTATCTTTTCACTATTGCTTTTTGAGTATCAAATTATTTTAACATCTCCTTTCCTACTTTAAAACAAAAACTATTAACTTAAACTCTTCAAATTAGCAACAAGAAGGAAAACAGATATTCTTCTCCTCTGAAAACTGTGTGTGAATTAAGTTATCCTGATAACAATCACCTTGCTATGCAGTTTAGTCTAAAAGCTAATGAAAATCCTGCTCAAATAGGTTAAAAGTCAGCATTAATCCCATATCAGTACTTTCAAAGAGCTTAGTTGGAGAGTCTGATTTCCTTTGTATCGGCACTGAAAACTCAAGGGGTGCAGGGAAAAAGAGGATTATAACTCCTATGAAGGTATGTTTTCTCCTAAAACCAAACTCCCCAATTCCCGACATCACCCTGACGACAGGTGCTGGTGAGGAGTGGGTGGGGGTTGGGGGATGCTGAAAGGTCATCTGCATCATCTCTCCACTTGCTGGCAGGACCCAAACTTAAACTGTGCCCCAAAGAAATTTCTCTCAACTCCTCCCAAACACCCACAAAGAAGGACTCTCTCTGATCTTACCTTAATAATGTGTCCTAATGTAATCTAACACTCTTGTTTAACTATGTCTTTTATTGTTCAATCTTAATCTATAATTAATCTTAATAATATTAATCAATAATTACAGTAAGCAAATAAAGAAAAATTTCTGAGTTAGTTTGTCCTGCATTTTCTGTAGATGAGGAGGAACAACCCCTCCACCTCCACAGTCTTATGATACACAGGCCACCTGACACTCAGCCATTCCTCCCCTTTTCTGCCACTGGTGATGCTGGTTTCCAAGAAGCTCAGGATTCCCAGTGAGTGGAACTCAAATCTGTAATGTGAATCGTTTAGTTTACAGCTATTGGTATCTTCTCTGCTTGCTGTGGTTTTATTTGTCACAATGAACCTTTAAAAATTTTAGCAAGAAACCCATTATTACTTTTCTTTCTGTCATCTCTCACATATAAAAGTTATCTTATCTGCTTACCTTGAAAAAAAAATACATGCCTAAGATACATAAGAACTAAGTTTTTGTCTACTGAAACCCAATCTTTCAATCTCATCAATACCCAACATGGAATCAGGATATGCTACAAACAACATTACAGATGCAGACTGCGAAGTAATCCATTTACATTAGCCCGAATTTGGAAGACTATTATTTGGATATGCTATCATCATATTTTGAAAAGCAATGTGGAGAAATCAATGGGTAACGGGGCATGAGAAATGACTCAAAAGTTAGCAATCGGGCCCAAGAAAGGAGAAGTTACAGAAGTTAACATGGAAAGAAGGTGGTCATGAACGCCTTGACCATGGAGTACGTTCTTTAATTCAGCATCCATCTGTGGAGTCTACCCTAGGCCAGACCTTGTGTGAGACAGGAGGCTCAAGGAGACAGGTATGTCCCAGTCCTGTCTTGTAGAGCAGCTGCTGTGCCACATCACAAGCCCCAGGGAGACAGAAATGATGCCAAGGTGCGTTTTGATGGAATGCATAAAAAACTCTCTGTACTCTGGCTGATTACAACTGACATGGTTCCCTGGGGAACACCCGCAGAATCTGAGTTTGATAATCATTTCTCAGGCAGGGCTTGGACATTCACCATCTGAAATAGGACGATAAGCCCTTTCAGATGTATTATCTTATGTGATTACTATGTTTTCATCCCAAAATATCATCTCCTCATTCCACAGTAAAGTACACAGAAGTTCAAAAAAAATTGAATCATTAACATCAAGTGAAGGGAAAAACTACAGAAATAAATATATACTACAAAAACAAAAACAAAACACAGAGCAATACTTAAAGTCCATGTCTATTTGGGCCTTCCTCCTTCAGTAGGGTTTACACAAACAGGTAGTCCTGAGGGCAGCAGAGGGAAGTTGTGCCAGTATTTTGCTTTGGCCCAGACTCAGTGGCAGTTAGCAGAATACCAGAGAGGTTAATGTTTGCTCCTTTGATGTGTGGGTATGTGTTCTAAGTCTCAACTTGTGTGATGGATGGATGCCAATGAAGTGGACATGGATGGGGAGTGAATCCCTCAGGGCAGGCTCGGGGTGTGGATTCCCGCAGAGCTAGACACAATGCCATTGCTCATAAAACAGAAATCAACACCAAAATATTATTAGAAACGGAATCTTCTGAGGGCCAGACATCCTTCGTAATCTCCCACAGTTTCTATGGTTGCACAAGCCACCACGGCTACCTATACCATAAGCAAAAACACAAAAACTGGTAGCTAATTGATGTCCTAATTACCAACCACCATATTAGGTTAAGTTTTCCAAGATTTGGTTAAAAAGAAGCTAAAGAAAAAAATACATATGCTAAATAACATATCTTATTTCAAAACCATAAGAATGTTCTAGTGATTGGGTCTGTGGATATATTCATATTAGGAAAACCGACACATTTCTCTTTAGGAGAGTGCTGATCGTGGCTTATATAAAAGACAACGGTGAAGATGAATCAGGGAGAAACAAGTTTTACGTCATCTGGGAAATGACTGCTTTCGCCTTTCCATCTGTGACTTGATTTTCAGAAGCACAGTGAAAAGCATCCCTTGATGGGCTTCTCTTACCTTGCTGGGAAGCTCTGAAGGCGGTTGTAGGCCATGTGCAGGATCTTCAGGTGGGGGTGTCCTGTTAACAAGGGCACACACTTGTCTGTGAGGTTGTTGTTTGTCAAATACAACTCCTGTAAGATGCTGCTCGTCTCTTCGGAAAGCGTGGCTGCAGGAAGGGTTTCCAGTTTGTTGGCAGATGCATTCAGGAATCTCAGGCTACAAGGACAAAATGCAACAAAATCCCGATGATAAGCCAGAGTTCTAGTCCGGAATCCTCAAAAAGCCCAGTTTTCTGATGGATACCTCGCATATTAGAAACTGGGTTTAGAAATGGGAATTTAAAGACAGGACCTGGAATTAGCAGGCATCTGGATACCTGACTCCCCTGTCTACGATGAACACAACAGCTATCTATGTGTCTTATATACAAAGAGAGAGAAATTGATTTTTATGGGAGCACAAAAGGTGACCGAAGTGACTAATTTTATAGCTGATGGGGAGTGGGAGAGAGAGTGATAAATATTTTGTCTTTAGGAAGAGAAAAATAATTGCCTTTTTAAAAAAAAGAGTTCTTATAGTAATAAAACAATTGGATATTAGATCACAACCCAACTAAAGCACATAGTGACTAAGCCCTGTCAGTATGTTGTCAAAACCACATTTTACTGACAGGTTCACAACCCCAGGAGCTGATTTGCTCTGATGAAGGGACACTATACAGCTGGAGAAATGAAGAACTACAACTTCATGATCAACAGGACAAATCTTTTTTTTTTTTTTAAATTAATAAATCTTTTATTGTTCAGATTATTACAGATGTTCCTCTTTTTTCCACCATATCTCCCCTCCACCAGGTTCCCACCCCACCCCATGCCCTTACCCCCTACCACTGTCCTCATCCATAGGTGTAAGATTTTTGTCCAGTCTCTTCCCACACCCCCCACACCTCCTTCCCCCCAACAACAGGACAAATCTTGCAAAAGTAATGTGGAGTGAAAGAAGCCAGAGAACAGAGGATACACCGTGTGAGTCCCTAACAACAGGGGGGTATCAGAAGTCAGGGAAAAGGAAGCAGTGTCTAGGAGAAGACTGGTTTTTCCAACAGGATGACGTCTGGTTTTCGATCGGGGTGCTGGTTACAGGAGTGCACTCACTTTGATAAAATTCATCATGTGCTACACTTATGATCTGTCCTCTTTTCTGTAATTATCTTATTATTCAAAAATTTTTACATTAAGAACAAATAAATAATATCTAAATATGCAACTGGTTATCCAAATAACAGAGTGAACAATGGCTAAAATATGAAGAATGTTTTTATACCTAAGATAACTAATATTGTCAAACAGTAATCCTAGAGTTATTGTGAGACACAGATAAATGCAAAATGCAAAGCTGCAGAACTGAGACAGAATCCTTGCTGTGACAAGGTTCCAAACCATTTGGCAGGGTATGCTCCATGGTGAAGCTGCAGCCACCGGAACATGGAGCGTGTTCAGCCCACAGGACTCACCTGCTCTAGTGTAAGGTCAAAGCTGCCCTGCCTCCACATAGAACTACTGTGTTAGTGAACCTCCATTTTCTCATTTCAAAATCACTTGGGTCTGAAACAGTCAGCACTCAATTCAGGACTATTCTACCATATCTTTGGAAAAAAGAATAAAATCTTCCTTTAAAAAAAAAAAAGAAAAGAAAAGAAAAATGGAATACCAGGTACAGTTATTTTTAATCTTGGATAAAAAGAAGGCTTTGCATTCAGGAGTCATCACCAGGATTGTCATTCCAAACTCTCAACCCACTAATTTAATACTCCCCAATTTTGCAACCCCCACATGCTTATACACACACACCCAACTCCACTACTTATCTGAGGAAAAGCAGCTTCCCCAAAATAGAACATTTTCCATTAAAGAAACACGTATTCTGTTGACTTTTTTTTTTAAAGGGAAGTTAGAGAACGGCTGTAGAGACCATAAATAGTCATGGGAAATTATAGTCATGTGTGCTGCAGAGAGGAAAATAAAGGTCATTCATGCCGCTTCTGAAATGGTTTTGAACTAGGAAGGAAACCAGTGTCAGCACCATAGTTCTTTAAAGCATCTATGAGTATCTCTTTTTTATTTTATTTCGTTATTTTTTTAGTATCTCTTTAGGTCCCATTTGTATCACCTGACTTAAATGCCCTGTTAGTAATTTCTTCAGTGCAGAACTAGGAAAAATTAAAATGCACTGCTCTAAAATAACATGGACTGAGGTTGGCCGGGAAACTATCTGACAATCTCACTAAAACACAATTCTCCAGGAAATATGTAGTTACAGATGCAGGCAAAGAAAAGAGATAAATTAATTCATAAAAATGTTTGCACACATTTAGGCCAGAAGAAGAGGGAACATCATTTGAAAGGAAAAAAGATTGACAAGTGAATGCTCATTTAGAAAGCTGCAGAGGGGACTTGGGAAACTGTTCGCGCCATCTGAAAGAAGGCGAGACAGTGATTTCCAAAAACGTGTTCTCTCATCTTGCTGAAATCCGCTTGTACTGAAGGAGCTATATACTCTTTACGGGAAATTAAGGGGGTAGGGAAATAAATCCCACACCCTACCCCTCCAGGAAATAAAACTAAGTTGAAACTACACTGGCCGGTTCCAAAGAATTTCATTTGTATGAATAAAGCCTGACTGAGTCACCTTGTTAGTCAATGGGCAGAGAGCAAACAATTGGATTAAAAAGACGTCTTATTATAATGGTCTCAGGAAATTAAATTCAGTACCCACCCTCTTAAATATAAAAAACTTGTCTCACAACCTCACAACGTTTTAGGATACAAATTAAATTGGTTTAATGTAGGTGTTGTATTTCCACCAGAATGAGCAACTACTTTAATTTTGCAAAATTTAACAGTTTTACTCAGTAAAGATGGTATATAACCCCACCCCCTGCTTTCTGCTAAATTCCTAAAGCACTGAGTTTGGCCTCAACCTCAATAGGATGTGACAACCTCATCAAGCTTCTTCCTTATAGATTTCTGCATAAAATATTGTTTAATGTGCCAACAGATGTTTCACCCATTCAACCTTCCTTACTATGCAACCCTCCTCTACTAATTAGAAAAAAAGCAGTAACATCACTGCTTTCTTTTCATTTGTAAGGTGCTTTGTGGAGACTACAGCTGGTTCCTATTTTCTATTTCATTGGACTCTCCCATTATCCTAGAGATGCCCCCCTCATATTTCACAGAAGACAGAAACTGAAGCTGAGAAAAGTCAAATTACTTGGCAATGGTTAAATAGTAATTACTGGCAGAGCCAGAAATAAAACACAGATCTCGTCAATCTTAAGAGTCCACTATTCCCTAACAGATCTCTCTAAATTTCAAAACAAAAATAATAATAATAAAACATTTTTCCTGAGGACATTTTCATAGGCCCTTCTCTCCAAAAAAAGCTGGAGGTCAAGCCGGGCACCTGCTGGGTAGCAGGAAGACCACATGTACACAGCACTTTAAACTGAATGCTTAAAATAACTCAATAACTAGCACAGTACTCAAAAACTTTCCTTAGCAGAAATGCAAAAGTTGTAGGAAAAAGACACCATGTATGGCCCCTACCCTAAAGTATTTGGAAAGCTGCCCACAACAGCAGTGAAATGAGTCCACTTCCTGCTTCTTGAGCAATTGCTATATTCTTCTTTGGCACATTCTGTCCATCTTTCTGGCTCATCTAATTTTTGCTTTGTTTTGTTTTAAATTGCTTTTTAGTATTTTCCAGCGTACCCTTAAACTTTACAGCCAAGCTGTTCTTGAGATAAAGCACAGGATTTGGAATCACAACAGATTTACCTATTTGTAGGCATACCAGGCAGTCTGCATTTACATATTTTTCCTGGATATCAGTACTGGGACTTGTAGTCTATTAAAAATGCAAAAGGTTAAGACTCTAAGCCCAGAAAACCTCTCCTACTTTTAGACAACCCCCTGACTTTTGGCCCCAAAATGTTCCAAAAGTGTCAAACAAAACAATCTATATTCCTTGTCATCTTTACAACACAGTACTTTTGACTATTTCATACATCTTCATAAGGCTGGTAGCTCATAAAGGAAGGGCTTTCAAATTTTTTATGATGGTGACCAAGAGTACAAAATACATTTTACATGACCATCCAGCACAGTACACATGCAAAATACATATGTGTAACTGAAACAAAAGTTTCATGAAGCCATATTTAATCTTACTTTTACACTAGTATTTTCTATCCTATTTAATTTTTAAGTGCTGATAGAAATTCACTAAATCAATGGTATACCCAGCTAATCAGTTTGAAAAACAACAACCCCACAATTATTAATTGCCTAGCAACATCACCTAATAGTGGGGATTGCAAGTGAAGGAAAAGTGCATACAAGTCCAATGGAATTCACACACTTATTTTGGAAGGTCTGAAAATCTGCCTGGCTTGGGTAATAAAGATCATAAGCCTATAACATAACGGAACAAAAGTTATATAGATATAAAAATTGTTAAATAAGAACTCGAAACGAATTTTAAAAATTAAGTATAATTAATTACTTCACATTGATGCAATACTTTAAATTAATGTACAGACCTTATCCTAATTTCATCAATGATCCTACTGATGTGCTCTATCTGGACCGGGATCCAATCCAGAATCCCACTTGCATTTCATTATCATGCCCTCTTAGTCTCCTCCTCTAATCAACCTTATCTGTCTCAAATGACCTTGACATTTTTGAAAAGTATCAGACAATTATTTTGTAGAATACCTTTCCATTTAGGTTTTCTCTTCATTAGTATACAGTGATGCATTTTGGCAAAAGCACACAGAAGTTATATTGTGCCCTCCTATCAGAAGATACATGATTCTCAACTTCAGCCCCCAGATATTCTTAAGTAGGTTAGAGGAAGGCCTCGAAATCTACAGAATCAAAAATTCTGATGAGTGGACAGTTGAGTCCGTGGAACTGAGATAAGGGCCAGGAACCTGCATGTTTAGTAAGTACTTAAGGGGATTCTAAAGACACACTTTGAGAAATACTGTTTTATTTCACTATGGCTCTTAAAACAGAACTTCACAAGATAGTTCTCCTCACTTAAAAAAGAAAAGTGTAGGCAACCTAGCTCTTCAAAATGCCAGAAGTATCAGTCTTTGCCAAAAGGCACCAGTTGTCATGGTCAATCGATAGGCCCCTTGATATTTA